TAAAGATTTGAAGCATGTAAAGGAAAAATGATAAAAGAACTTTAATTTTTAAGCAAACCATCTCTTTAAGCTCTTACTTTTTTGAAGTAATCAGAGCTCAGAAATGAACCAGAGAAAATATTAGATAAGGATACCATACTTCTTATAATAGGAGAATATTTGTCCAAATTGTAAGATGAAAATACATATATTTTCATTTTTTTCATGGATGCTGTAATAATGGCATTGACAAAAAAATATATACAAATGAAACATTTTTTTGAGTAGTAAATTAGGCTACAAAAGAAATTTTAAATAATTTTTAAAACCCAAACATGACATGATGTTTATTTGACTTTAAAACACTCAAATGATGTGCGCCTAATAGAGACAACAGAGAACAGTGCTGCTGTTATGCTTTGCGTGGAAAATATGCAAATCTTTTTCTGTGTTGCTTATTTTGAGCTGCGTTAGAACCAACAAAACTGTTTTCTACAAAGGAGTTTAATGTTACAGAAAACAGCTGCATTCATTTTTTGGGTTAATACGTCAAAAAGATGGCACATCTTTCTTTTAAATCTGCATGTAAAAGCACAGCACTTCTGTTCTTTGTCATTTTTCAGGTAGGACACCTTAATTATGCCTAAATTGGGCTGCTGGTTTGATGTTAAATGATTTAGATTAAATGTTGAGTGTTTAATGATGGCTTGGTTAATGTTTAAACTTTCATTTAGTGTTAGTTTCAGTTAGTGATTGAATTTTAGTTCAAACAAAATGTTGATGTTGTGACCATTTTGATTTATTTAACATTGTAAAAATAACATTATTATGAGTGAAAAACTGGCTAAAAATCAATGATAGCTTTCAACGTTGTTTCAATGATAGTTTGGCTGATGTTTAAACTTTCATTCAATGTTAGTTTCAGTTGAAATAGTCTTTAAATTTTAGATAAAACTTTTTAATTTTGTGACTATTTTGATTTATTTATTATCGTTGAAATCACATGATTTCAAAGTGCAAAACAAAAAAGTTTGGTTGATGTTTAAACTTTCATTCAATGTTAGTTTCAGTTTAAATAGTGATTTAAATGAGTGTTTTCAAACCTAGGCTTTTGTTTCAGAACCTGTCTTGTTTGCCCAGTTAGCGCTGTTCGTTTCGCATATATAATTCCAGCAATCGCGTTCGAATCAGCGCCAAATCAATCGGTCCGAGAACGTATGAAAGAGGTGGTCTCGGCTTGATTGAAACGAACATGGGGGCAGATCGTTTGTTGTGAGAAAGCGATACGTTTCGAGCTCGGCTATATCACAGTGTATAGCCGCCTTTTCACTGCACATGACATTTGGACATGACTGTTGGAATACACCCCCTTGTAGCAGTTGCACAGAATTTTCAGTTCTGACGTGCACCATGGGAGTGAAGCTGTTCTCGCAGTGTTCGAAATAAAGGAGTACAAAAGCAAAAGCCAGTATTCTCTGTGCATTCACCATGGTTAAATAAATGAGCGCACTCAAAAACCGCTAAAAAAAATTGGAGACGACATGAAAAATAATATTTTTAATACTTTATTACATACATTTATGAATAGAAATGTTTTTTTTTTTAATGTGGACTTTTTCGGATTTAAAAAATAACAATCATCTTGTGCACACAGATCTGCTTGGACAACACTTGAATACATCACGTTCAGTCAGCCGGTCTCATACGGTCTAGGACCGGAGCAAGCTGAACTGCCGCACTAGTCAAAGGATGATCACGCTGTCCCAGAAAGTGAAAATGAAAGTGACCGGTTATCAAAGTCGTGGATAACTGGGGGGTGGGGGGTGTTGTTGGTTGGTTGGGTTGCGGATATAACTAGCCGCTTTTCCACTATCGTGCTGAATCGTTCTTTAAACAGAACTGTTCCATTCCGTGCCAAACCGGGCCAGACAGCACGGATACGGTTTCATTTTCCACTGTCGTGCTGCGACAAAGCTCTTTAAAACATTACACAAAACGCATCAGTAGTTGCCTTGGTAACGCAATGTAAACGGCTCCCTTTGTTCAACTAAAGTTAAATAAGAGCCGAAACTATTTATTTATTTTTTTTCAGAAAAGCAAAAGCAACCATGTGACTAAACACTGTTATGCCGCTCTATGAAATAGGGGAGCTAAATGTGCACCCTTATTTATTTATATGTTGCGCAGCTCTGGCTAAATTTTATTTGGAGGGAAAATTACCAAAATGTAACGTGATGATTAAAAATAATTGGAGGGGAAATAAATAATATTTAAAATCTCTGAACATAACAGAAAAATAAACAATGATAAGACAACAAAAATAGTGCATTTGTATTATAGTGGCAGAAATATAATTTTGTACAGGCCTTGTCAAAGGTGAGCGGGCACTTTCACTAATAAAAACACAGCACATAAATTATTTCATTTTTAACAATTAATTAAATTACACTGCGTTTTTATATCAAAAGTTGATAATGATATAACATATACTACATTTTGATGGTAAAATGAAACCAATTAAGCGATGGCTGTTATTTGTTTTAGTATTCAAACATTAAATAACGAATGCAGCAAGTGAAAAAAAACGAATATGAAACAACACGTATATTGCAGGATTTAAAGCATTTAAAGCACTATTATATTTAGCAAAATGCTGCTCTATTATCTTTTTATTTTGATCATTTTATTTTTATTATAATAATTATTTTTGTGTTCATATTAACTAACAAGCTGTAGGCGAATTATTGCTAGACGTTTTAGAAAATATTTGCGTAGCTATATAAAGATCACCACAAAAAAACTAAAACACAGAAACATGTTACATGCCTCATAAATGTCATATAACTTATGTATAACTGAATCATATAATTATCTAGAGCTGAAATGATGAAAATTGCTCATTTTATTTTTTATAAAACATTTGTCAAAACGTATTGATATTTTTTGAGTAAAAGCAATACTGACATTTAAGAATCCATATTTATTTAATTCATTCATTCTTTTGACTTGTTTATTAGTGCATATGCTATAATATAAATCATACAACAGTACCTTGGACAGTTACAGTGCCGCTCCGTGAAGCTGTCAAGCAAAGTCTTTTGGACGGCCGACATTACAACACGACGTCCTTCAGGTGGTCTCGCCGGTATTAACAAGCTGTCCTGGCTTTGAATTAAAAAGTGCAATTACTTCCTCGTTGTTAAAAGAGTCTGCAAGTTCGTGTTCCATGGATATATATATCGTGATGTTGTAGTGGAATTTGGACATCGACGATGCTAAGCGTGACTTTATTCACTTTATTCGATGCGCAGCAGGAAAAAAAGTGAGCAGCGCAAGTCGCTGGCATGTTTCTCCCAGATCAGAGCGAGTTTTGTGCTGTGAAATACAGCGCTGCGTGCAATAAACTCACATTCAGCGGGCGAAGTAGGTCTGTATTCAAGTCAATAAAATAATAACGTTAATGAATAAAATATCTTCGTAAGAATGTGATGAGTTATTCACTTCTCTGCCAGAGACTGCTCTATGCTCTCATCCCATACGATCCCATACGAACCACTAACATCATTAATTTAGGAAATCATCCACCCTTTTCAAACTGTATCGTTTAGACCTGGATCGTTATTTTATATTAAATGTACTGTAGTTTATTGAGGATGTCTGATGACTAGCGCGCTTCTGCTGAGCCAGCTGTGGTAGCTTAGCAACCGAGTCGCGACGTCAACACACAGAATCTGTCAGCACAGTTCAGCACGGTTGTCTAACCGTGCCGAGAATTCCGGGCTGAGAACGGTTTGTAATCGTGCCGCGCCGTTCCAGGCTCAGTGGAGAAACAACCGTAACCGTACCGAAGTGTTCTTAGAACGGTTTGGCACGATAGTGGAAAAGCAGCTACTGAAGACAGGTGGTGAGAAAGGTGGAGTGGACGCCGCTCTCTCTACGCTGCCACTCTAGGCACGGATATAGCTGAGGACGCAGGTGCTGAGAGAAGTGTCATAGACGCCACCCTCACTATGCTGTCACTCTAGGTGTGGATATAGTTGAGGACGCGGGTGGTGAGAGAGGTGTCGTGGACGCCACCCTCTCTATGCTGCTACTCTAGGCGCAGATATAGCTGAGGATGCGGGTGGCGAGGAAGGTGTTGTTGACGCCAATTTCTCTATGCTGCCACTCTAGGCACAGATATAGCTGAGGAAGCAGGTAGTAAGGGAGGTGTAGTGGACGCTGCCTTCTCTATGCTGCCACTCTAGGCGCAGATATAGCTGAGGATGCGGGTGGTGAGGAAGGTGTTGTTGACACCACCCTCTATATGCTGCCACTCTAGGCGCGGATATAGCTGAGGAAGCGGGTGGTAAGGGAGGTGTTGCGGACGCCGCCCTCTCTATGCTGCCATTCTAGGCGCAGATATAGCTGAGGACGCGGATAGTGAGGGAGGTGTCGTGGACGCCAATTTCTCTATGCTGCCACTCTAGGCACAGATATAGCTGAGGACGCGGGTAGTAAGGGAGGTATAGTGGACGCCGCCCTCTCTATGCTGCCACTTTAGGCGCAGGTATAACTGAGGACACGGGTGGTGAGGGAGGTGTCGTGGATGCCGTTTTCTCTATGCTACCACTCTAGGCACAGATATAGCTGAGGACGCAGGTAGTAAGGGAGGTGTAGTGGACGCCGCCCTCTCTATGCTGCCACTCTAGGCGCAGATATAGCTGAGGATGCGGGTGGTGAGGAAGGTGTTGTTGACGCCACCCTCTATATGCTGCCACTCTAGGCGTGGATATAGCTGAGGATGCAGGTAGTAAGGGAGGTGTCGTGGATGCCAATTTTTCTATGCTGCCACTCTAGGCACAGATATAGCTGAGGACGCGGGTAGTAAAGGAGGTGTTGTGGACGCCGCCCTCTATATGCTGCCACTCTAGGCGCGGATATAGCTGAGGAAGCAGGTGGTAAGGGAGGTGTTGCGGACGCCGCCCTCTCTATGCTGCCATTCAGGGCGCAGATATAGCTGAGGACGCGGATAGTGAGGGATGTGTCGTGGACGCCAATTTCTCTATGCTGCCACTCTAGGCACAGATATAGCTGAGGACGCAGGTAGTAAGGGAGGTGTAGTGGACGCTGCCCTCTCTATGCTGCCACTTTAGGCGCAGATATAACTGAGGATGTGGGTGGTGAGGAAGGTGTTGTTGACGCCACCCTCTTTATGCTGCCACTCTAGGCACGGATATAGCTGAGGAAGCGGGTGGTAAGGGAGGTGTTGAGGACGCCGCCTCGTCTATGCTGCCATTCTAGGCGCAGATATAGCTGAGGACGCGGATAGTGAGGGAGGTGTCTTGGACGCCAATTTCTCTATGCTGCCACTCTAGGCACAGATATAGCTAAGGACACGGGTAGTAAGGGAGGTATAGTGGACGCCGCCCTCTCTATGCTGCCACTTTAGGCGCAGATATAACTGAGGACACAGGTGGTGAGGGAGGTGTCGTGGACGCCGTTTTCTCTATGCTGCCACTCTAGGCACAGATATAGCTGAGGACGCAGGTAGTAAGGGAGGTGTAGTGGACGCTGCCCTCTCTATGCTGCCACTTTAGGCGCAGATATAACTGAGGATGTGGGTGGTGAGGAAGGTGTTGTTGACGCCACACTCTTTATGCTGCCACTCTAGGCACGGATATAGCTGAGGAAGCAGGTGGTAAGGGAGGTGTTGAGGACGCCGCCTCGTCTATGCTGCCATTCTAGGCGCAGATATAGCTGAGGACGCGGATAGTGAGGGAGGTGTCTTGGACGCCAATTTCTCTATGCTGCCACTCTAGGCACAGATATAGCTGAGGACGCGGGTAGTAAGGGAGGTATAGTGGACGCCGCCCTCTCTATGCTGCCACTTTAGGCGCAGATATAACTGAGGACACGGGTGGTGAGGGAGGTGTCGTGGATGCCGTTTTCTCTATGCTGCCACTCTAGGCACAGATATAGCTGAGGATGCAGGTAGTAAGGGAGGTGTAGTGGACGCCGCCCTCTCTATACTGCCACTGTAGGCGCGTTGGATGTTTTGGATGCATTGTACCATGCATTGTAAAAAGGTAATTCGCAGCCACTAAACTTTTCTGACAGGGTATTAGAGTGTCATATGTAAAAGTTTGTGGTGGGACTACTATACAGGAATTATTATTATGGATTATGGATTGCGAAATTTAACGGTATTTATTTTTCATACCCCTTTGTTTTTAAGCATGGTCCTGAAAAATCCCAGTTTTAAGGGGTATCTAGCCTTTCCCTTTAGCTCTACACATTCAAGTTAAAGAGAATTGGGACACCCCTACCCCTTCATGTGAACTCACAACAAAAGGGTTAGAGGAAGGGCTAAGGAGTAGAATTGGAATTGGGCCTAACTCTTAGAAACCTCTTAACTGATCAACTTTCTTTCTCCTCAGAGGCTGAATGCACAGAGCTTTGGAACAGGTGAGTGCTAAAATGTTCAATTACATCTGGAACATCAAATGGAAACATTTATAAAGTTAAAGTATAATTTCTTAAAGTATCAATCTTTTTGTAAGCGTTCACGTGTAATAATAAAGAAAGTAATTGGCTTTTAGCTCTTACCATCTTGCTGTTAAAATGTTTGTAAAATCCTCATATTTTACACCTTTTAATCTTCGCTTGTAAATTACATGCCATTTATGTGACTCTGTCTCAAGAAGGCAATCACAGTATCTTTGTTTCAAGGCATGTGATTGAGTGCACAAGTTAACAAAGCCCAAGTTAGCAAAGTTCATGATTACCATCATGATATCAACAAAGCTTGATTGCATGCACAGGTTTGGTTTTGTCAACTGGAAACTAATCCTTTAATCCCAATATTGTTGCCATAGGAGAAATAAAGCATATTCCCTTCTACTGACACTTTGGGCACCCATGATCCTTTGCGTTCCATTTGGAAGGGATCATTTCTATGCCCCAATTCTTTGGTAGGCTTTAACTTCTGAAGTGACACCTAGAGTCCTTTCAAAGGATCATGGGTGCCCAAAGTGTCCATTAGTTATCTCTTTTGAAACTCTTAATTCCTGTAGGGCCAAATAAAAGTGGCCAGTTTTGATCACTTCAGTTTGGAACAACACTTCAATCAACTGACTGTTTGCATTTCAAAGTATCCTTTGGAGGGGCAATATCCCATTTGGAAAAATAAGGGGGAAACACAAGACAGGGAAAACACAACAGAGATCCTGATTTTTAAAGATGTCTGCATTTTCATCCCCTAATCTATAATCATCCACCTAAACTATGCTAATCAAACAAATATGCATGATTGTGTTTAATACACATGCCTTGTGGTTCAAAGTCATATCTAGGACATGTATTTCACTTCATATTTTGTGAATGTTTTGAAATGCCCTTTCTGGATGAGCTTGTTAACATACTGCATAGCTAATGTGGCTGTTGTCTAACTGTCCAAACCAAAGGGATAATCAATTTACATTTCCTTTGTGTTTATTATTATTTTTAATACATTTTCAAGCACTTTGAAACAGAGTTGTAGCATACTAGTCAATGAGTTGAATTAAACTTTACATACACTCAACTATAAAACCATACCACTGTCAAGGTTGGTGGGTGGGGAAAGGAGTGAGGACAATTATGGGATTTTATTTATAATAAGATAAAATGCAAAACAAACTACCCAGAGGAGGAAAACATTAACAAAACACAATCAAACTTGGCTGGGCAGGCTGGCAGGGATCAGGGCTGGACAGACAGGACAAGGCAATTATTAATGACGAACTGGCACAGGTCAGCAAACATGAGGAGAATATAAGCAGAAAAAATTAATAAATTAACAGGTAAACCTATTAATCTAATGGGTTAACAAGGAGGGTGAGACTAGACAATAGTCAAGACTAGAACATGCAGCCAGTAAGAGAATTTATTAACCACATGTAAACTTAAACCACAAGAAAACCAACTGAAGACTGAGCGCAAGACACGACTACACGATAAAAAAAAAAAAACTCTCCGTGCACTCACACAAGCGATGAGCATGTTTTATCCCAGCACCAACCAAAACCAACTAACTAGACTGAGATGCTGAGAATAAAACATTATGCTGCAGACAGAACAAACACAAAACACCAGGACAAGAACGAGCGTCCCAAGCACGCCCAGACCTTGTGCGCCTGCATCATGCATGAGCACAAACGGCCCAAGTGCGGCTGAGACAGCGCTCAAAAGACACCAAATGACAGAAAATGAGTGTTTAACCTGAGAAAACTTGAGCTGAGCACATCATACAAGACATGGCAGGACTAGAGTCTGGACTCTGCCACCAAAGCAAGACTTAACAAGACCAGAGTGGCAGAATCCTGACATCCACCAACCGTTCAAAAACTACCTGGTGCTGTTTAGAAGTTATAACCTCTTCCCGTTATAGGTCATTTGGTTGTACTGCTAATTTGGAATCATCTTTGTAGCCACCTTGAAGTTTAGTTTGAACCGAAAATTGCATGTGATCCATCTTCAGTATTCAGAAGTCACACAGTAGTGTCTACAAATAATAAAGTCAAAACTGTATCATCATATGTACAGGTACATATTAGTTCTTATTGTGAATGTATGATACCTAAATACTTCTGGATAGGATGGAATACTGGGTTAGGCTGTCTGGGAAAGTCCTCAAATGGTTCAGATCTTACCTTGAAGTAAGAGGTTACGCTAGCTGCTTCTCACCATGTGTTCTTTAGCGATCTTGCGTCTTCGTGTTTTTGTGTACCATCATCATCATCAGCAGCCTAAGTTCAGTTCCAAAACTCCAGACCACGAGAACAGAGGATGCGTGAAAGTTCCCACATGTTATCGTAAAATCGAGGATGCGACGATGCAGACTTGAGTGTAACACTCGCTCGAGAAGTCCCAGAAGTCATTCACGCTGAATCACGAGGTGGGAAGTGCAGCATTCTATACCTGTTTATTATCGAAGTTCAGAGATTTAACTTATTTATCTTAGGAGTTTCCCTAAATAAGACGGTGAAAGTAAACTTTAAAATGAAAATATTTATAAAGGCATGAACACATTAAGGGTCTTTATTTGTTGAAATTCGTCTTAAAATCTGTGCGTGTTATATAGTGAAAATGGGAAAACAATAAATCATTGTATATGTACTGTTGTATTTAAATAATTTCCCCTTAAAATGCTTGAAGGTCATGTGACCATGAGGAAGAGTGCATGCATCTCATTTCTTAGAGGACGCGTTATGTGTTCTCGCGGTCTCCCGAGTGCGTTCCTCTAAGGTAACTTGGCAAGAACAGTCTTCATAAGAACGCTAGTCCGTTCTCTGCTTTCTTTGAATTTAGAAACAGCCAATGTCAGTATAGGTGACCATACTGTATGTTGATGGGATGTCATGGGACCATACACCCATGACATAGAGTTACACAAGGTTTAATTCTGGCAACTCTCCTGTTCATCTTTTATATGCTCCCACTGAGCCAAATAATGAGAAAGAACCAAATCTCCTACCACAGCTATGCTGATGACACTAAGATCTAGCCTTATTGCCTAATGACTTCAGCCCCATTGGCACCCTCTGCCAATGCATTGATGAAATGAACAGTTGGATGTGCCAAAACTTTCTTCAGTTATTCAAAGAGAAAACTGAAGTCATTGCATTTAGGAACAGAGATGAGATTCTCAGGATAAATGTGTACCTTGGCTCTATAGGGGTCAAACAACAAAAAATGAGGTCAAGAATCTTTGTGTTTCTAGAATCAGATCTGACTTTTAGTAGTCATGACAAAGCGGTAACTAAATCAGCATATAATTATCTCAAAAATTGCAAGAACTAGATGGTTTGTTTCCAGTAAGGTCTTAAAGATACTTGTTTATGCTTTTATCAGCAGCAGGGTGGATCACTGTTATGGACTCCTCACAGCAAGACAGTTCGTCCAGAACACTGGTGCCAGGATTCTGTACAGAATCAGAAAATCAGAGCACATCACGCCTGTCCTCAGGTCTTACCACTGGCTCCCAGTTACATTCAGAATAGAATTTAAAGTATTATTAGAAGTCTATAAATCCCTAAATGGCCTAAAACCCTAAAACACAACAGATCATTTAGATCATTAGGATCAAGTAAATAAAAAAATATTCCAAGAGTTCATCTAAAGCAAGGTGATTCGGCCTTAAGCTACTACGCCCCCCGCTGCTGGAATCAGCTTCCTGCAATAATCAGATGTGCTCCAACAATAGGCACAATCACATCAAAACTTAAACAACATCTCTTTAGCTGTGCCTTTACTCAATGAACACTGTGCTACGTCCAACAGATCTCAATATTATGTTTTACTTTTCTTTTTCATTCCTTTAAAGCACTTTTTAATGTTTTTAAAACATTTTGATTATTTGTTGTTTTTATTTTCTTGTTTCTTTTATTCCTGTTTGTGTAAAGCACTTTGAATTACCATTGTGTATGAAATGTACTATATAAATAAACCTGCCTTGCCATGCTTGCCTAAGTAGAACACAAGTCTACCTTTTGAAAAATGTACCACCCAAGTGACAGCTTTTGTACTTTTATTTATAAGAATGTATATAATCTATGGCTGTTTTGCATGCTTCTGTTTTCTAAAACAGGATTAAATGACAGTCTTGTGGTGACTGAAATATCAACATCCTTTGTGCATCTGAAATTGGATGAATTATTTGGAGTGGGGTCTGTCTTTAACATTCAATGGACTGGAGACCCAACATCTGGAAATATGACATTCACAAACAGACTGTTAAACATCACTGATCTGACTGCTGGAGTCAATTACACATTTTGTGTCACAGATGAAGCAGAGAACTCAACAGTCTGCATCTCAGCATGCACCAGTATGTAAACCTTGAAAAAATTATCGGTCGTTAATATAGTTAATAACTGCAATAAATGCTTGATAGCAGAATAGTGAGAGAGATATTTTTTGAGAAATTGTTAGAACTTTTCTTGAAAGTCAAGTTTACATGCAATAAGATTATTATGCCTCTGAAATAGCTCAGATGATGGTGTCAAGGATTTGTAAGATTCTGATTGGCTAATTGACAACATTTGAGTTAATTGGAGGCACAACTGTAGAATAGTGTTCAAGAAAAACCTCAAACACACTGCTTCCTTGTGTGACAACATGGGAAAATGAACTGATTACAATTTGATAAATTACAGTGGGAAAAATAATAATTTTTGGGGACATGCCCTGTGGTCTGATGGAACTAACATCGAACTGTTTGGCCATAATGACCAGTGTTACATTTGGAGGACAATGGGGAAAGGTTACAAGCCTAGGAACACCATCCCAACTGTGAAGTATGGGGGCAACAGCTTCATGTTGTGAGGCTGTTTTGCTGCAGGAGGGACTGGTCCACTTCACAGTATAGATGGCATCATGAAGAAAGAACATTATGTAGAAATACTGTAGCAATATCTCAAGATGTTGCCAGGAAATTAAAACTTGGCCACAAATAGGTCTTTCAAACAGACCAAGACCCTAAGCATACTGCCAAATTAGTTAAAATGTGCTTTAAGGACAACAGTGAATATTTTGGAGTGTCCATTACAAAGCCCTCTATCTATCTATCTACATTGCAGCATATTCATTTATAATTGCATCATTTATATATGTGGTTTTTATCGCTGTTACACTAGCAGTTATGATTTCATTTTCTGTCCCTCACACAGAGCCAGATGTAATCAGAAATCTTACTGTGGCCAACATCACAACATCATCTGCTTTTCTGAAATGGGATGAACCTCAGGGGAATAGATCTTTCTTTAAAATTCAGTGGAGTGATAATAATAGCGTCAACAATATAACAACTAATGACACATGGTATAACATCACTGATCTGACCGCTGGTGTCAGTTACACTTTTAACATCACTGCTGTTGCAACTGATAAATCAACACAGGGAGAACCTGTAGTTGCCATAAAATACACAAGTATGTTTCCATATTTCCAGATAAAGTTTTAAAATGTATCAATTTACACTTGTTAATTTTTTTTTCTTTTTATTAAGAGTTATAATCTCCAAATGTCTTTTATCATTCATTCACAGAGCCTGGTGTTATAATGAACCTCAAAGCTGATAATATCACCACATCATCTGTTTTACTTAGCTGGACCAAACCAAATGGCCAAAGCTCCTATTATAATATAGAATATGGAAATAACAACGTGACTACAGAGAACACTTCCATGGAAATACATTTTCTGGTTCCTGGAGCAAAATACACATTCAGAGTGTTTGCAGTTGCAGCTGATCGAGTGACCGAGGGGGACTCTAATCAGATTTTACTATTTGCAAGTAAGATCTCATTTTAGAGTTTTAGCCCCAATCCTACACTTTCCAGCTGAAAATTAATAGTGTTTGTACAAATACAGCAAATAACAAATATGCGAGCCAGTAGTCTGTTAAATGTGCTTGCATCTTGTGGATTGACTTCAACGTAATCTATTGTCTAGTGATACCATATATGATGATGTACGTATGTAGTAGGAGTAGTGTCCTGTTTAAGGGAATATTTCCATGACTATCCCTTTACACTTTGATTCCAAGGGAAAGGAAGGCATACGGGTGAAAAAACATGGAATTGGATCGGGCCTAAATTGTAAAGAACAACCAACTAAGATTTTGTTTTCATTAGTTATGACTGCACCATTCGCATATATATTTTTAAGTCCCTGTTACACAATTTACTTTTCTGTCCCTCACACAGAGCCAGATGTGGTCAGGAATCTCAGTGTGGTCAACATCACAACATCATCTGCTTTTCTGAAATGGGATGAACCTCAGGGGAATAGATCTTACTTTAAAATTCAGTGGAGTGATAATAATAGTGTCAACTATACAGAAACTAATGACACATGGTATAACATCACTGATCTGACCGCTGGTGTCAGTTACACTTTTAACATCACTGCTGTTGCAACTGATAAATCAACAGAGGGAGAACCTGTAGTTACCACAAAATACACAAGTATGTTTCCATATTTCCAGATAAAGTTTTGAAATGCATCAATTTATGCTTGTTCATTTGTTTCTTTTTAAGCGTTATAATCTCCAAATGTCTCTTATCATTTATTCACAGAGCCTGGTGTTATAATGAACCTCAAAGCTGATAATATCACCACATCATCTGTTTTACTAAGCTGGACTAAACCAAATGGCCAAAGCTCCTATTATAAGATAGAATATGGAAATAACAACGTGACTACAGAGAACACTTCCATGGAAATACATTTTCTGGTTCCTGGAGCAAAATACACATTCAAAGTGTTTGCAGTTGCAGCTGATCGAGTGACCGAGGGGGACTCTAATCAGATTTCACTATTTGCCAGTAAGATCTCAGTTTATATATTTAATGTGTACAATACACCCAAAAGGTTTCATCAGTGCATAAATGCATGGGTCATTCCTCCATTCACCAGCATTTGTAATGTACTTTTTCAATCCCCTCACAGAGCCAGTTGGAACCAGCAGTCTAGTTGTGACCAATATCACAACATCCTCTGTTGTTCTGACCTGGAATGAACCAAATGGAAATAGATCTTTCTATAAAATTGATTGGACTGCTGATAAAACAAACAAAAGTGGAACAGAAATGACGACTTCTGATTATTTACAAATCACTAATCTGACTGCTGGAGTCAGTTACACATTCTGCATCACAGCAGACAATTCAAACGGAAGTGCTGCTTTCTGCATCTCACAATTTACCAGTATGTACAATTATAAAAGATGTCTCTTTGTTACATATGTTTAAACTAATTGACTGAAGCCCCAATATTACATTCAATTTCTTATTTTCTCTACACTCTCAGAAATACCTTTTCAAAAGTATTTGTACTTAAAGGGTCCTTATTGGTACCTGAGAACTTTATATTAGTACCTGCAAATTTTAGGAATGAGGAACACTTTTGTACTTTTTAGGTAACAATATTTACACTTGAGGTATTAATATGGACCTATTAGGTACAAATTTGTATCTTTTGAAAATATACCACCCCAGTGACAAAGCTACGTACCTTTATTTCTGAGAGTATAGAATTGTTTCAATGTTTAACACCACTTTTAACAATTTGCCTTCAAACTTGCAGACTACGCTTCCTGATAAAAGTCTTGTCACCTATCCAACAAATATTAGGAACAACAAATAATAACTTGACCTTTAGTTGATCATTTGGTATTAGAATTGGTTAATATGAACTGCAAAGGCCTCTAGATTACGTGTGTTTTACCAATATAAAATAAGATCATGTCTTGATTTTTAATTATTTTTGATTAGGACAGTAAGGTCTGACTTTGCTTAGACAACAATCATGTCAAATATAAATTTTCCACTGCACCATGACAAATATAAAGTCATGGTGCAGTGGAAAAAAAAACATAAATTTTTTTAAATAAAAATAATATTAAAAAAATTATATTTTGTATGACTCCCATGAGCTTGGAGGACTGCATCCATACATCTTTGCAATGACTCAAATAACTTATTAATAAAGTCATCTGGAATGGCAAAGAAAGTGTTCATGCAGGACTCCCAGAGTTCATCAAGATTCTTTGGATTCATCTTCAGTGCCTTCTCCTTCATCTTACACCACGCATGCTCAATAATCCTGTAGCACCTTGACCCTTATTGCTTTCAGGAACTTTGATGTGAAGGCTGAAGTATGAGGAGCACTATTCTGTTGAAGAATTTGCCCTCTCCTGTGATTTGTAATGTAATAAGCAGCACAAATGTCTTGACACCTCAGGCTGTTGATGTTGCCATCCACTCTGTAGATCTCTTGCACACCCCCATACTGAATGCAACCCCATATCATGATTTTTCCTTTACCAAACTTGACTGATTTCTGAGTGAATCTTGGGTCCATGCAGGAGTGTTGTTCGCTTAAAAAATCCAAAAACCAATGCAATCTCAAAGATATGTGTAACTTATAATTTAGTAGCTAATTAATATTAATTTGTACAAATCAGACCGACATGGTAGCTCAGTGGTTAGCTCTGTCGCCTCACAGCAAGAAGGTCACTGATTAGAGTCCTGGCCGGGTCAGTTGGAGTTTCTGTGTGGAGGTTACAGGTTCTCCCAGTATTTCCGTGGGTTTTCTCCGGATGCTTTTGTTTCCCTCACAGTCCAAATGCATGTGTTATAGGTAAATTCAATAAACTAAATTGTTCATAGTGTTTGTGTGTAAATGAGTGTGTATAGATGTTTCCCATTACTGGGTTGGAGCTGTAAGGGCATCCGCTGTGTAAAACATATGCTAGATATTTTGCTGGTTCATTCTGCTGTGGTGACCTCTGATGAATTAAAGAGACTAAGCTGAAAGAATTGTACAAATCTCATTTGTTTATTTTAATACAATATGTTCATCCCCCAATAAAAGGTAGAGTTTGGGGACAGGTCTCTTTTTAAAAATGGCATATTTTCATTCATTCATTTTCTTGTCGGCTTAGTCCCTTTATTAATCCAGGGTCGCCACAGCGGAATGAACCGCCAACTTATCCAGCACGTTGTTGCGCAGAGGATGCCCTTTCAGCCACAACCCATCTCTGGGAAACATTCATACACACTCATTCACAAACACACTCATACACTACGGACAATTTAGCCGTCCCAATTCACCTGTACAGCATGTCTTTGGACTGTGGGGGAAACCGGAGCACCCGGAGGAAACCCACGTGAACGCAGGGAGAACATGTAAACTCCACACAGAAACGACAACTGAGCCGAGGCTCGAACCAGCAACCCAGCAACCTTCTTGCTGCGAGGCGACAGCACTACCTACTTCGCCACTGCATCACCGGTATATTTTCATTCAAATGAAATTGTATGAATTTGTACAAATTAGCCACTTTTCTTTTCTGACAATGTGTAAAATAACTATTTTTTTAATGACATCAGGCTGGCAAAAGCACACTAAGTCAAGAGTATATCAAATCAACAGGTGGCGTTATAACCCTAAGTATAAAAACTTGTTGGCCAATCAGATGGCTGAGGATGGAGATACAGTAGCATCACAGATTCTGATATTAAACAAAGGAAAAAAAATGGTGCACACACTTACATGATGGTGCAAAACTAGTATTAAACGGGTGCTAAATATCAAACAGAAAAGTAAAGAGAAAAAGTCACTGTGGACTTCTGGGAGGAATCTGCGCACACAGAAATCTGCTGATTTTTCTTTGCCCATCATTGAGTCTATTTGTTTACTTAAATGTAAATATATTTATTAAGTTATTGTATTGATTTCAGTCATATTATTGGAGGACATTGCATGACTTTACTATAGGAAGAATCGCCGACAACGTCGTCCAAACTACGTCTCACAGCCAAAAACACGTATTATATATTTTGTTATTAACTACATAATGAGAAAGAAGTCTTTAATGGGGTAGAACATGTACATGTTTGCTCACCTGGGTTTAAAAGTAATTAGCCATTTCTCCTCAACGTTGATAATAAACTAATTTCTTTTTGTGTGAAACGTCAAACAGACACGGTTGCTCCTGTGTCCTGTCAAACCTCCACTGGTTTTTCCTCCATTTCGTGAGTCCAAATAAACCGAAAAAGAGCACTTTTAACTTCTCCCCCAGCCTCCCGCTGGCCTGCAGCAGTTATACACACACACACGCAAGTCAATGCTGCTCTCTCATTGGCTGTAGGCGATGGCTGATGTTATTTTCAGTCAAAACTCAATTCACACGGCATGATTTGAATCGCCGACAGCTCCAGATATTTAGCATGCCAAATATCTCGCAGGCATCTGCGACTCATCGGCGATTCTCTCAGATCGCGTTGTTGATAGTTCATACTGTGTGATTGTCACACACGTGCACGAGCACCGATTTGCCTGTGATTTCAGGCATTTGTCGGCGATTTCTCAAAACCTGTCAGCGAGCCGAAATTGGGGCTAAAATCCCGCAGTCTGAACTAGGCATGTGCGGTTTATTCATAAACTAATTTCGAGAGGATCACGTGCTTATAATCAACACGGCTGGCTCCTTGTTAGCTCCGTAATCAGCCCTATTAGATGATTTTGGAAGCATCATAAATAACCTGAGTTTTTCATTTCAGTTTTCTTCGTCTTGAAGCTCCCCCCCTTTCTACCCCTACATCCTCCCATTTTTTTTTTTTTCTGATTGGGCAACACGGTGGCCCAGTGGCTAGCACTGTTGCCTCACAGCAAGAACACCGCCGGTCCAACCCATCGGGCCGGTTGGTGTTTCTGTGTGGAGTTTACATGTTCTTCCCGTGTTCGCGTGGTTTTCCCCGGGTTCCCCGGTTTCCTCCCACCGTCCAAAAACAAACCATAGCCAATCGACTAAAACAAATTATCACCCAATACAACCTTAGTTTACACTTCTCAGGGTGATAAGCAGGGGAGTTCTCGAGACCTACCTGACCTCGAATTCCCCTCTCACCCTTATAACGGGAGGGAGCCCCGGGCTCCAGGATATTACGAGCTCAGGGCTCTCTGCCAGGACAGCATGCCAAATACGCTTTATTGATTATCAGCTAAGTGTAAACTCTTGAAAAATGTCTTCTAGAAAAACTACCCCAAATGACATTTTTTGTGGCGTATGTTCTAGTGATGACAAGATGATGATGTGTGTATAAAGAAGTAGTAGTAGTAGTAGTAGTAGTGTCCCATTCTTAGGGAAATAATTACATCACTGTCCCGTCACACTTTGTTTCAAGGGCCAGGGGAAAGGTATATTGATATACAATGGAATTGGGATTGGGCCTAATTTGTAAAGCTCCATTTATATATATAGTTTTCAAGTCCCTGGTACACTATTTATGATTTACTTTTCTGCCCCCCACACAGAGCCAGATGTGGTCAGGAATCTCATTGTGGCCAACATCACAACATCATCTGCTTTTCTGAAATGGGATGAACCTCAGGGGAATAGATCTTTCTTTAAAATTCAGTGGAGTGATAATAATAGCGTCAACAATACAGCAACTAATGACACATGGTATAACATCACTGATCTGACCGCTGGTGTCAGTTACACTTTTATCATCACTGCTGTTGCTACTGATAAATCAACAGAGGGAGAACCTGTGGCTACCACAAAATACACAAGTATGTTTCCATATTTCCAGATAAAATTTTGAAATGCATCAATTTATGCTTGTTCATTTGTTTCTCTTTAAGCGTTATAATCTCCAAATGTCTCTTATCATTTATTCACAGAGCCTGGTGTTATAATGAACCTCAAAGCTGATAATATCACCACATCATCTGTTTTACTTAGCTGGACCAAACCAAATGGCCAAAGCTCCTATTATAATATAGAATATGGAAATAACAACGTGACTACAGAGAACACTTCCATGGAAATATATTTTCTGGTTCCTGGAGCAAAATACACATTCAAAGTGTTTGCAGTTGCAGCTGATCGAGTGACCGAGGGGGACTCTAATCAGATTTCACTATTTGCCAGTAAGATCTCAGTTTATATATTTAATGTGTACAATACACCCAAAAGGTTTCATCAGTGCATAAATGCATGGTTCATTCCTCCTTTCACCAGCATTTGTAATGTACTTTTTCAATCCCCTCAAAGAGCCAGTTGGAACCAGCAGTCTAGTTGTGACCAATATCACAACATCCTCTGTTGTTCTGACATGGAATGAACCAAATGGAAATAGATCTTTCTATAAAATTGATTGGACTGCTGATAAAACAAACAAAAGTGGAACAGAAATGACAACTTCTGATTATTTACAAATCACTAATCTGACTGCTGGAGTCAGTTATACATTCTGCATCACAGCAGACAATTCAAACGGAAGTGCTGCTTTCTGCATCTCACAATTTACCAGTATGTACAATTATAAAAGATGTCTCTTTGTTACATATGCTTAAACTAATTGACTGAAGCCCCAATATTACATTCAATTTCTTATTTTCTCTACACTCTCAGAAATACCTTTTCAAAAGTATTTGTACTTAAAGGGTCCTTATTGGTACCTGAGAACTTTATATTAGTACCTGCAAATTTTAGGAATGAGGAACACTTTTGTACTTTTTAGGTAACAATATTTACACTTGAGGTATTAATATGGACCTATTAGGTACAAATTTGTATCTTTTGAAAATATACCACCCCAGTGACAAAGCTACGTACCTTTATTTCTGAGAGTATAGAATTGTTTCCATGTTTAACACCACTTTTAACAATTTGCCTTCAAACTTGCAGACTACGCTTCCTGATAAAAGTCTTGTCACCTATCCAACAAATATTAGGAACAACAAATAATAACTTGACCTTTAGTTGATCATTTGGTATTAGAATTGGTTAATATGAACTGCAAAGGCCTCTAGATTACGTGTGTTTTACCAATATAAAATAAGATCATGCCTTGATTTTTAATTATTTTTGATTAGGACAGTAAGGTCTGACTTTGCTTAGACAACAATCCTGTCAAATATAAATTTTCCACTGCACCATGACAAATATAAAGTCAAAAATTATATTATTTTTTAAAATAAAAATAATATTTAAAAAAATAATATTTTGTATGACTCCCATGAGCTTGGAGGCCTGCATCCATACATCTTTGCAATGACTCAAATAACTTATTAATAAAGTCATCTGGAACGGCAAAGAAAGTGTTCTTACAGGACTCCCAGAGTTCATCAAGATTCTCTGGATTCATCTTCAATGCCTTCTCCTTCATCTTACACCACACATGCTCAATAATGCCTGGTGACTGGGCTGGCCAATCCTGTAGCACCTTGACCTTCATTGCTTTCAGGAAATTTGATGTGAAGGCTGAAGTATGAGGAACGCTATTATGTTAAAGAATTTGCCCTCTCCTGTGATTTGTAATGTAACAAGTAGCACAAATGTCTTGACACCTCAGGCTGTTGATGTTGCCATCCACTCTGTAGATCTCTTGCACACCCCCATACTGAATGCAACCCCATATCATGATTTTTCCTTTACCAAACTTGACTGATTTCTGAGTGAATCTTGGGTCCATGCAGGAGTGTTGTTCGCTTAAAAAATCCAAAAACCAATGCAATCTCAAAGATATGTGTAACTTATAATTTAGTAGCTAATTAATATTAATTTGTACAAATCAGACCGACATGGTTGCTCAGTGGTTAGCTCTGTCGCCTCACAGCAAGAAGGTCACTGATTAGAGTCCTGGCTGGGTCAGTTGGAGTTTCTATGTGGAGGTTACAGGTTCTCCCAGTGGTTCCGTGACCTCTGATGAAGTAAAGGGACTAAGCTGAAAGAATTGTACAAATCTCATTTGTTTATTTTAATACAATATGTTCATCCCCCAATAAAAGGTAGAGTTTGGGGACAGGTCTCTTTTTAAAAATGGTATATTTTCATTCATTCATTTTCTTGTCAGCTTAGTCCCTTTATTAATCCAAGGTCGCCACAGCGGAATGAACCGCCAACTTATCCAGCAAGTTTTTAAGCAGAGGATGCCCTTCCAGCCACAACCCATGTCTGGGAAACATTCATACACATTCATTCACAAACACACTCATACTGTACACTACGGACAATTTAGCCTACCCAATTCACCTGTACTGCATGTCTTTGGACTGTGGGGGAAACCGGAGCACCCGGAGGAAACCCACGCGAATGCAGGGAGAACATGCAAACTCCACACAGAAACGACAACTGAGCCAAGGCTCGAACCAGCAACCCAGCAACCTTCTTGCTGCGAGGCGACAGCAGTACCTACTGCGCCCCTGCATCGCCGGTATATTTTTCATTCAAAAAAGGAATCTGCGCACACAGAAATCTGCTGATTTTTCTTTGCCCGTCATTGAGTCTATTTGTTTACTTAAATGTAAATATATTTATTCAGTTATTGTACTGATTTCAGTCATATTATTTGATAGTGCTCTCTGTGGACATACATTCTAATATGCACATGGACAGTTCAGAGAGTAAAACGGCAATTTACTATGGAGGTCATACCAAAAATGTGTTACTATATTGAGTATTGTGACATCCGTAGTAAATACACAGTACAGTTTCGTGCTGCACATGATCCAGAAGTTGTAACAAAAAGTAAACAAAACAACAGAGTAAAGCTGAAGCCTTGTATGGTTTCCAGCAGAACATGAACAATTTGTAGATATATAACACAAAACAAATTTTTGAGCCGGTTATCTACCTAAGTGCGGTTTATTCATAAACTAATTTCGAGAGGATCATGTGCTCATAATAAGCACGGCTGGCTCCTTGTTAGCTCCGTAATCAGCCCTATTAGATGATTACGGAAGCATTATAAATAAGCTGAGTTTTTCACTTCAATTTTCTTCATCTTGAAACTCCCCCCCTTTCCACCCCTACATTCTCCCATTTTTTTTTTCTGATCGGGCGACACGGTGGCCCAGTGGCTAGCACTGTTGACTCACAGCAAGAACACCGCCGGTCCAACCCATCGGGCCAGTTGGTGTTTCTGTGTGGAGTTTACATGTTCTTCCCGTGTTAGCATGGGTTTTCCCCGGGTTCCCCGGTTTCCTCCCACCGTCCAAAAACAAACCATAGCCAATCGACTAAAACAAATTATCACCCAATACAACCTTAGTTTACAGTTCTCATGGTGATAAGCAGGGGAGTTCTCGAGACCTACCTGACCTCGAATTCCCCTCTCACCCTTATAACGGGAGGGAGCCCCGGGCTCCAGGATGTTACGAGCTCAGGGCTCTCTGCCGGGACAGCATGCCAAATACGCTTTATTGATTATCAGCTAAGTGTAAACTCTTGAAAAATGTCTTCTAGAAAAACTACCCCAAATGACATTTTGTGTGGCGTATGTTCTAGTGACGACAAGATGATGATGTGTGTATAAAGAAGTAGTAGTAGTAGTAGTAGTAGTGTCCCATTCTTAGGGGAATAATTACATCACTGTCCCGTCACACTTTGTTTTTATATTGATATACAAAGGAATTGGGATTGGGCCTAATTTGTAAAGCTTCATTTACATATATAGTTTTCAAGTCCCTGGTACACTATTTATGTTTTACTTTTCTGCCCCCCACACAGAGCCAGATGTGGTCAGGAATCTCAGTGTGGTCAACATCACAACATCATCTGCTTTTCTGAAATGGGATGAACCTCAGGGGAATAGATCTTACTTTAAAATTCAGTGGAGTGATAATAATAGCGTCAACTATACAGAAACTAATGACACATGGTATAACATCACTGATCTGACCGCTGGTGTCAGTTACACTTTTAACATCACTGCTGTTGCAACTGATAAATCAACAGAGGGAGAACCTGTAGTTGCCACAAAATACACAAGTATGTTTCCATATTTCCAGATAAAGTTTTGAAATGTATCAATTTATGCTTGTCCACTTTTTCTTTTTATTAAGCGTTATAATCTCCAAATGTCTCTTATCATTTATTCACAGAGCCTGGTGTTATAATGAACCTCAAAGCTGATAATATCACCACATCATCTGTTTTACTTAGCTGGACCAAACCAAATGGCCAAAGCTCCTATTATAAGATAGAATATGGAAATAACAACGTGACTACAGAGAACACTTCCATGGAAATATATTTTCTGGTTCCTGGAGCACAATACACATTCAAAGTGTTTGCAGTTGCAGCTGATCGAGTGACCGAGGGGGACTCTAATCAGATTTCACTATTTGCCAGTAAGATCTCAGTTTATATATTAAATGTGTACAATACATCCAAAAGGTTTCATCAGTGCATAAATGCATGGTTCATTCCTCCTTTCACCAGCATTTGTAATTAGTCCTATGTTCAACACCACTTACAACAATTTACCTTCAAACTTGCAGACTACACATCTAGACAAAAGTCTTGTCGCCTATCCAACAAATGTTAGGAACAGCAAATAATAACTTGACTTCTAGTTGATCATTTGGTATCAAAAGTGGCTTATATGGAACGACTGCATCTATACATCTCTGCATTGGCTCAAATAACTTATTAATAAAGTCATCTGGAATGGCAAAGAAAGTGTTCTTGCAGGACTCTCAGACTACATTAAGACTCTTTGAATTCATCCTCAATCCCTCCACCTTTATCTTACATGCTCAATAATGTTAATTTCTAGTGACTGGGCTCGCCAATCCTGCAGCACCTTGACCTTCTTTGCTTTCAGGAACTTTGATGTGGAGGCTGAAGTATGAGGAGTTTTTTCCTCTCCCATGGTATGTCATGTAATGGGCAGCACAATTGTCTGGTTTCTTCAAGCTGTTGATGTTGCCATCCACTCTGCAGATCTCTCACATGCCCCCATACTGATGGAGCCCCAAAGCATGATTTTTCCTTCACCAAACTTGACTGATATCTGTGAGAATCTTGGGTCCATGTGGGTCCCATAGTCCCATACTTTTTCAAATGATCAAGTAGAAGTCAAGTTATTATTTGTTGCTCTTACAACTGGCATTAAAGACTTTTGTCAGGTAGTGTAAATATGAAGTCATGTCAACACAAATGTGGTTATAATCCAAAAAAGTTAGAAATAACAAATGTGTAACTTTCGGTTCTTAGGAATGCCTGAAAAAGCCCAATCAAGCAATTGTAAAGCACTCACTTTTGACCATTCAGGGGAAACGCGGTTAATAATATACAATACTAATCCCGGTGTCTCAAGTCTTGTCCACTGCCTGAATGCTCACCTCTGCCATGAATATAACTTTAAATCAGCATGTGCTCATTTAGTGCTTTTTATTTTTTGCTTCTGATTTTTTAAATTTTTTTATCAACATTTACTTCTCTTTCCATCATACAGAGCCTGATGTAATCAGGAATTTTACAGCATCTCAAATCACAACATCTTTTGTGTTTTTGACATGGCAACCTACTGGAAATATATCTTTCTTTAAACTTCAGTGGACTGATGATAAAACAAACCAAAATGCAACAGAGACTAATAACACATTTTATAATATCACTGATCTGACTGCTGGAGTCAATTATACATTCTGCATCACTGCTGTGGCAGCAGAACAATCAAATGAAGGAGCTGCTTTCTGCATCTCACAGTTTACCCGTATGTATAATTTTTATTTATTTAAAAACTGCCTTCATGCAGGCTGTTGTTTTTATTGTGTTTCAGAAAATTGCTCCACACTGTATAGTTGGGCTGGTACAATAAATAGATGCATTGTGAAAAATCAAAAATCAATTCTGCATAGATTCTGGACTTTCCTAATGCATATTCTCTCTCAATCAATTGGGATCAATAGTTTTTACCAACAGATAGCACTGTATGCTTTACAGTCAATCCTTACACATAACTCTTGAATCTAAAATGATTATTGATAAAGTTGTAAAGGGTTAATAGAATACAAGAATGAGCTATTTACATTAACCTGTGGCGTAAAAGCCGATGTGCAAGTACATCTGACCACTTCCTTTATAAAAGTAAAGATCTGGAGAAAAACAGTGCATCTTTTAGAGTTCAAACATTGTTTTCTATGAGGGTACGCACATAGGATACCTTTACTTTTTTTACCTTTGTGTAATCAAAGTCTCTTTAGGGCAAGTCATTTCACTTGGCGGCCATCTATAAAACCCTCATGAGCAATATGGGTTAAAAAGGGAAACATCAAATTCTCCAAAATATTTGTCGAGATTATGGTTAAATTTTATATTAGGAATCACCAATACAATTAAACAACAACTGTCTCTTAAGTTTAATTTCTAAATGTTCGGATAACACAAAAGCTGCAGAAACTCATGTCTGGTACGAACCAATCTCTGTAGAATTTGTAATCCAAAAGGGTTATCCATTTAGCAAGCAAAGATCAAGCCAGACGACAAATAATCAAAACATGATAAACAATGTGAGGGTCAAAACACAAGAAGGCAAAAACAAGGAAAGCACTTGTAGCAATACTAACAAGACTCAGCAACGGATGTTTGAATGAGTCCGAGTAATTAATAATAATGTCCTTTAACTGTGTGTGTAATAAGAATGAACTTGAAACCGGTGTGTGAATGCATAGTATGATGGGATATGTAGTTCGGATGAGTATTAATTAGAAATGATCTCCAGCGACCTGAGAATTATATATTCAGCTTCAGTTATTATACAATAATTAAGTTTCATTTTCATATTTTTCTCTTTACTCTACTTATTTAAATTGACATTTGCTTAAAACATATATTTCCTATATTATTATTAATTTTAGTAGTAAAATAAAAAACTGCATTTTTTGACTGTTTGTTGACTGTTTGTTTGACTTGTCCCTTGCGATTGAAGGGAGAGACGCAAATACAGGGTGTTGGACCCAAACACAGAATTCATTGAGAGAATTCAGCCAGCAATTCACAACAATAGAGACAATGCAAGAGCATAATACATTTAGCGAGCAAAAGATCAAGGCAGGCGACAAAAAATGAAAACACAATAAACAATGTGAGGGTCAAAATAGGGCACAAACAAGGAAAGTACTTTGAATCGTAGTTATACTTACAAGACTCAGCAATGGATGTGCAAATGAAAAGTGTATTTAGAGTACAAGTAATTAACGATAATGACCTTCAGCTGTTTGTGTGATCAGAATTAACTTGTGTGAATGTCATTGCCGCCATTTTTAAAAGCGAAATCGAGGCTGCGGTGGGAAGAAATCCCAAAGTATCTTGGGAGTTACATAGGAACGTTGTGTACCTGGCTGTATATCTCACCAGCGAAAAGAACGAGACACAAATTAATAATTCTGAGTGACCCCCACGGTCCGTTCTGAATGAATTGTAAAAATAAAAATGGCACTAGTTAGCTAACCTTTTCTTTCCCAAACACACGGTTCAGATGCCATTCATCAAACTCAACTTAATAAACTGATTCTTTCACTATTTTAGACTTGTCACTATAATGAAATAAAAGAAAAACTGGTGTTCACTTGCTCAAAAGAAATGTCTGTGATTGGTCAAGGTGAACACTTGAGCATATTACTCTGAAATAGATTGTGATGTTGGTTGATGCTAAATTGCTTTTAATTGTTTAAATTATACATACTGAATGAAATTAAAGTGATGTTTACACCACTTCTGCATTTTGAAATCTCGGCAATAGCTGGAGGTTTGTAGTCCACAGCATGTTACTGCAATGTTTACAGTGCTGGTTCTATACTTCTGAGTTTTTTTCCCACTGCAGCTTTGCTTTGGTTGTTTAAAATGGCGGCACAAGAAATAAGCGAAGTTGCTGCCATGTGATTGGCTGACTAGAAATTTGCGTTAACAAGCAGTTTGACAAGTGTACCCAATAAAGTCACCAGTAAGTGTATAGCTGCGTCCCAAATCGCATACTTATGCACTATTCTACGCCATTTTGCAATATAAATAGTGTACGTAGTGTGTTCACACTGAAAACTCTAAAAATAATAAGTGCACTTTAATTACCCGGATGATGCACTCATTCAGCCGGTAAAATGAAGTGTGGAATGATGGACACCTACGCACTCAACGACCGCAGGTTTGCTCATGTAGCGGAAGGGGCGGAGCTATCAGGCGCACATGTTGGATTATTTATTTTGGATTGTAAAAGCAAAATTCTCCTACGAGAGTGATTATAGCGCCTCCCGATGGTGAATGTGGCAATACTCACGGCAGGTATTATATGATAATTCAGTCGTTTATTTCACTGATTTGGCAACCGTCAAACGTCATCAGGGAAACGGTTTGAATTTCCGCTTAGTAAAAAAACATTAGTGTTCCATTTGGGATGACACTACATACGTATACTATCCTGTTGAGTGTGTAAGTGCAAAAGTAAATAGTGCATGAGTGCATAATGTATAGTGTGCTATTTGGGACGCAGCTTATATGTTTCTAAATTATATTTTTTTTTCCCCTTGACTTCCATTATAACCCCATTTTTTTATTGCAAAGCCTTGACAGCATTCTTGATTGTTACTGTGCATTCTTAAATGTTGGTGGTTTTCCCATTTGGGATGAGGTCAAATTTGTAATTTTTATGGTTGAGTATATGGTGTGATGGTTTTACAATCAGAAAATGTTGTTATAATTGAAGTCAATGAAGCAAAAACGGTAACGGTAGTAAATTTGCCCAGAGTGTATTGAGTCTTTAGAAAAATCCCAAAGCATTTTCCCAAAATGTGTGTCAAAATAAGATGTAACCAAAAATCATTACATTTGCTAACACACAGTGAAAGTTGTGGCTAAATTAAGCCTCAAAATCACCCCAGCGTGGATGAAAACATCCCCAACAGTACACAAGGGTTGAGGGATGTTAATGGAAAATGTTTGAAATGTTCCCACAACTCTTTAATAAATTTTATATATACTCTTCTTTCTCCCATACAGAGCCAAATATGGTCAGCAGTCTCACAGTGTCTTCAGTCACATCATCGTCTGTGTCTCTGAAATGGGATGCACCAAGTGGAAGAATAGATTTCTATATAGTTCAGTGGACCAATCAGAGGAAATCTATAACAACTAAAAACACTTTCTATGATATTACTGGTCTCATGGCTGGAACCAATTACACAGTTTGTGTCAGTGCTGTTACTGGAAACACAAGTCAAAGTCAACTTTTCTGCTTGCCAATATGCACAAACACCAGTGTTCATAGCTCCGGTAAACATAAACATAATAGGTTGACTATCAATTTAACTTCCATTGAAATAAGTTAATATAAATTATGTGTTCTTTAAGTTTAACCTATCATGTTGTCTAGATCTGAGGATTAAAATAATTTATTTATTTTTGTGATTAAACAGTTACAAATAAACCGGTGGGATCTTCTCCGCAAACTAATCCAAACACTGGGTTGATTGTTGGCATCCTTCTGCTATTGATCGTTTTTGCCATGATCTTCGGCATCACTTCCATGGTCTTTTTCTATTCAAGAAGGTGAGTTGTCATCATCAGAGAAGCAAAGACTGGATAAACTCTATATACAGATCAATATACATTCATTTTATTAACATTTCCTTATTACAGAGAGGTCGTAAAACATTGTCAAGACATCCCTGTACACACCATCACGTGAGTTTGTTTGATGCTCAAAGATAAATATAATAAATAAATATAATAATTTAATTTGTATTATTGTAATAATTGTTAATAAATAATATAAAATCATAACATTGGTATGTATACACTGTAAAAAAATCCATAATTTTATGGTTTTAGCTGGGGTGCCAAAAAAAACGTAAATTAATGGCTGTTTCCTTCAATTGAAATTTCTGGTAAATTTCAGTAATTTATTATCTTTTATTGAATGGTAAATTCAATTGTTATTGAATGGTAAATTACTGTAATTTAAAGGCTGATATTTTAAAATTACAGATTTTTTGACAGTGTAGTACTACTGCTATCTTATAATATTGTCATATTACGCAATTGTGACTATTACTCAGAATTTTGACTTTATGTCATGGAATTGTGACTATTTCTCAGAATTTAGAATTTTATGGCATACATTAATGGCTTTAATACTGAGAATTTAGACTTCATGTCACGCAGTTTTGACTATTTCTCTGAATTTTGAATACATTTTTCAGAATTGTGAATTCAAATCTTGCACTTCTGACATACTAACTCACAATTTTGAGTTTATATCTCACAATTTTGAGGTAAATGTCAGATTAGTGAGTTTGTTTCATGCAATTCTGAGATAAATGTCACAATTGTGCCAGGGGAGGTTCCGGATAGGGCTTCTATACTATTAGTGTGTGTAAGATTGTTTTCCTTTATGGTTTCTTTGTTTTCTGATACACAGTAATATTGCTTTGAGGATAGAAGAGTATGAAGAGTACTTTAAGCAGAAATGTGCTGATTCCAACCATGGTTTTGCCATAGAGTACGAGGTATTTTTGGTTTGTTTTGTTTATCATGAGTGCAACCCAGGCTCATTCTTAAAAACTTAGCCCTATATACATTTCTGGTGAGCACCAAATATGTCCCAGGAGCTATGTTTTTTGCAGTTTTTGTTTTGGCAAATCCACCAGGCCATTGTGTATGCATTTTGAGATCTAAAATTTCTCTCGAGAGTGCCATTCATGCCTTTACTTCTCACTTAAATCCACCAGAGGCCGCTGTCTACTGACTGATCGACTGACTCACCCTCCTATTTCACTAAACTCAACCAAGAGTTTTTTTTTAAAAGCACCGATTGACCCGTCCACCTACTTCCCTAAACCCAACTGACAGTTTTTATTACATTTTCAGATTTCGTCACATTCTTACTCTGTTATTTACTTTATTTTATTTTTTTGGAATTTATTTTTGTCTTACCCGATTTCTAGAACTGTTGTTCACTGGACTTGAACCCCGTCGTCAGGGTCAACTCCTCTCTGTGCCTTTAGTCTGCCGATGTACATAGTGAGCTAACTGCAAAAACTGCTAACAGCGGGAAAGGCATCTATACGGAGGTAAGCAGTCAGCTAGTAAGCGCGAAAATGAACGTCATACAATATCGTCACACCGCCCCGTAGCATTCATTTTTAAAAATGAAATCCCGCCATACGTACGTACGTAAAGTAGGGCTATGTTTTCATAATGAGCCTGTGTTGCATGCAGTGACTTTCTGTGGTTATATCATCAAACTGTTGTGGCCATAACTTGTTGCACAGCAATTGATACATTCTAATAATAAAACATGCTAATTCTAGTTTTTCAAAGTCTAAAGATCTTCTGTGTTGTTGCAGGAGTTAAGATTTGTTGGAACAGCACAGGCAAATACCGCCGCCCTGGCTCTTGAAAACAAGGAGAAGAATCGTTACTTAAATGTTTTACCTTGTGAGTATCTTCACTGTTGTGTATTGTAAAAAAAAAGTGTCAGTAGCTTATCAAAATCACAAGCTTCAATTTGATAGGCTGGCTGCTTTGAAATTTCCTGGAAAATTGACACACTGATAATGCAGTGAAAACACCATAAAAAAGCCAGTCGCTGCTTGTTCGAACTACTTATTTAATATTAGCTGAAACAACACAATTCTTTAGGTTTTTTTTCTCATTTAGGTCTCGTTTGTTTTATGTTCAATCCACTTAAATTTGAAATAACAACTTAATCAATTTCGGTTGGGAAAACCGTGCAGTTCTTTATGGATTTATTATTATTTATTTATTTATTTTTTGTGGACAAAGAAGCATAAGTTGACATGTGGCTCTAATTGCGACCAATTTAATATTTAATAAAATAATCAGACACTGGAGATAACAATAAGAAGCCAAAGAAATCCATGTGTTGTAATAATTTTTAAAACTAAAAAATGACATTTGCTGTTTGTTTAAACTACTTATATAAAATAAGCTGAAACAACACAATTATAGAGTTTTTATAGCGACAACTTAATTGGTTTATGTTCAATCCACTTAACTTTGTGAAAACGAACAAGTTAACTTAATTTTTTCATGTTGTTCCAACACAAATTGTAGCATTCCGTGTCCTCACAGTGTCCGTGATTAAACAATTTAAAGGTCATCTACACAAATCGAAGCATTATTTATTATTATTTTTTTTTGTGAATGTGATCAAGTAGCCTTGGCATTGGTATATCAATTGCCTAGAGGTGTTGGCAGTGTTTCTCGATCTCCGCTGCTTTTTACCAGTTTTAGAGCAGACACACGTGCTGATCAGGACGGACAGCATGGCAACGGTAGCTTATATCAAACATATTGAGGGTATATGTTCCCGTTTCATGTCTTAGCTTGCTCGCCGTCTGCTTTTCTGGAGTCACATGCGGCTGAAATTGCTGAGTGCCATTCGTATTCCAGGCAAACTCAACTATGCAGCTGATGCACTCTCACGGCAGCTAGCATCCTGAGGAGAATGGAGACTCCACCCCAGTTTGATATAGCTGATATGGGATCGCTTCTTGGGTGCCCAGCTTGACTTGTTTGCTTCTCCCGAAAACATCCATTGCCAGTAGTTTTTCTCCCTGATCGAGCCCCCCTTGGCACCCTGGTTAACCGGGTCAAGTCAAGGAAGATAGGGAGTCTTGTTTGTTGCGCCTCTCTGGCCCAACCGGACCTGGGTTCTCAAACTCACAGTCCTTGTGACGGCCCTTCCCTGGCACATTCCCCTAAGAGAGGACCTCCTCTTCCAGGGACCGGGCATCCTCTGGCATCCACGCCCAGATTTCTGAAAAACCTCCACATGTGGTCCATAGACGGAACTTAGGTGACTTACCAGCATCAGTGGTTAACACCGTCACTCAGGATAGAGCACCCTCTACGATGCATGTCTACGCCCTGAAGTGGAGTCTGTTCGCTGAGTGATGCTTTTATCACTGAGACTCCCGAACTTGCCAAATTAACGTTGTGTTATCCTTCTTTTAAGATAAGCAGAAGCGTAGGCTGTCAGCCTCCACACTGAAGGTCTAAGTGGCTGCCATCTCCACTCATCATGACACGGTAGATGACAACACGCTCGGGAAGCATAATCTAATCATTCAAATTCTCAGAGGTCCGCGGCGATTAAATTCATCTGGCCCCCCTCTCATGCCCTCTCTTTAGTTGGCATCGTTCATAAGAGTCGGGTATTTGGAGGCATTTTTGGTCAGCAAATCATGCCTGGAATTTAGGCCTGCCTACTCTCATGTTATGTGGCTTTGTGCCCAAGGTTCCTTCTACCCTATTTAGAGATCAGGTAGTGAAAACTGCAAGTGCTGCCCACAGAGGAGGCAGACCCAACCCATGCAGGACTTCTAAATATTTTGTGAACAGCTCCTAATCTGTTATCGTGGTTAGCAGAAGGGAAGTACCGTATCAAACTGAAGTTTGGCTCACTGGTTCTACTCACAGGCTGAGGTTTGGTGGCAGCTTTGAGCAGTCCTCAATGGCTTTCCCAAATGCTTATTTCTGCCACAGAGTGTTCCCCCTGACCAGGCAGACCCATGTCTTCCCTACCAACTAACCAGCTTATCATATGTAGCACTCCCCTTCAAGGCTAATCCATATGTTCTTATTGCCATCAAGTTTCCCCTTTGGGTAGCAGATGGCCTCCGCAGTGTCCTCCCCCTTCAGGGACTGGCACGCTTTCCCAACGTACTGTCATATTTCTAAAATTTGTAGTCTATATTAGCTAGGTAAAAGCACGTTTATGACCCCCATTTAAATTTTCTAATTAATCCCATGTAATGGTAATTAAGGGGCCTAGGGGAAGTTGGAAGGTTGTGCTCTTGGTGATGCTTGTGAGCTCACGCTATGGTTGGTAAAGTTCATATGAGGAGAGTGATGGGCTTAGATGCAGTGGCATTTTCCATACACACTTCCATATGTCTGTTATCAGACACACGTTGTAGTTCCGATGAAGGGAAACGTACTGGTTACATACGTAACTGACATTACCCAAATATGGAACGAAGATGTGTGTCTCCACTGCCACAGCAGCTAATTCTCCGGTTGATCAAGCTGTTCAGCAGGCAAAAATTCTAGTGCTCACTTTTCAGCCATCAGCTGATGTATTCTGTTAATGACTAATCGCAGACAGCTGTGGAGCTTAGCTCCGCCAATTCAATTGCCATTTATTGGCCCATTTTCTTACTCTTCAGCGTGATTGGTTGTCTGGCGTACTCCCATATGTCTGTAAAGCTGCGATCACACTAGAGTTTGTGCTTGCAAAACTCTGTCGTACAGCGCTATGAAAAGGGGCGGGATTAAACAAGATTATTAAACATTTAAAAAAGCAAGTGATGATTAGTCTAATGCAGTCAAGTGATGCGATTTCGCAGGTCAGAGTTCACCTAGCTTAAACTTTGCAATGCAGTGAACTGCGAAATTTGACGCACAAACTTGCAATTCCAGTCTGACGCATTCACGTGCATATATGGTAGTCTATGGGGAGAAAAATCCAGTGTGACTGCAGCTATATCCGAGGAACCCTATGCAGGGAAAGTAGGTTACGTATGTAACCAGGACATTTTCATACCGTGATGGTTGTTTTTAACGTTGGGGTAGGGGTAGACAATGATAAATTCCAATTTAATGGATAATTTAATAAAAAACATGACTAAAATCTGTATAATTACTGTTTTTATATTACTGTGAAGGTTGTGTTTAGTGTTGGGGTAGGGGTAGACATTAATAAAGTACAGTTTAATGGGTAATTTAATAAATATTATGACTAATATCTGTATAATTATTGTTTTTATATTACTGTGAAGGTTAGGGTGGAGGTAGACCTTAATAAAAATACAATTCATGGGTAATTTAAATAGTAAATAATAAATAGTTTTTGTTCCAGTTACAGCTGTATCCCTTCAAGGAACAGCCATTAATAACTACTGTTTAATTGTTTCATCATGTTTGCTTTGTTAAGATGATGCTTCAAGAGTGAAATTACTGAAATGTGAAAACCCCTTTGATGACTACATTAATGCTAACTATGTGCCAGTGAGTATACAAACATTCCAACATCTCTTGTGACCCTACATGTTGCATCAGTTATTTAAATATATTGTGTGTGGTCAGGGCTACAATTCAAGAAAAGAGTTTATAGCTGCTCAGGGTCCATTGCCCGTCACGATAAACAAATTTTGGAGAATGATCTGGGAGAACAAAGTCTACACCATAGTGATGCTGACCAAATGCAACGAGCTGGGAAAAGTGAGTTCAAGTTTTAGCATTAAAATGTTATTGTTCACATTAAAAAGTGGTAAAATGTGAAAATGTTTATGCTGAATTAAGCTAACCTAGGGTGGCCAAAGAGCTTAATGTGCTGCATTTAAAAAAACACACATGCAATAAAAAAAAAACACCAGCAAATCAAGAAAAGATCCTTATTGGTTTGACAATATAAGTGTTGCAAATTCTAACAATACAAACACATAAAAAAACACTGCATTTCCTCACAATGCAAACAAATTAAGAAAACGCCTGCATTTTCTCACAACAAATGCAAATAGCATTGAACACAACAGAAATGTTTCAAGGGGACCCTAAAATATTATAGACCCGGCCATTTAGGTTATATTCTGCATCCCAATTCGCATACTTACGCCCTATTTACATGGGGCGTCAATGCTTCCCATTCACTTTGAATGGGTGATGTTGAGCAATGCCGAACTGACTTTTAGATCCATTAGGGCTGCTTCAGCAGCATTGCTCGCAACAGAAGTCAAGGATTTTTCAACTTTTCAAGCGCCAATGGAAGTGTCAGCCAATCAGATCGCTTTATGTAAATGCCACAGCTCAGACAGTAGCCGATTGCAGAATAATTTTATTGGCTGACACTGCTATGACAATCGCGTCAGCCCCAACTTCAGACACACCCTTGGTCAAACGTTGATGCTGATGCCCCAAGTGAATGCATCATTATACTATGCTCTAAAAGTATGTACTTTTTTGTGAAAGAAAATTATATACTTTCGAGTGAGTAACAAAGAGTATGCAAGCTCGGGGACTACTACTTCTTATTAACAAATAGTTATGTTGCTTAGTTATGTCCCCTGTCTATCACCTCATTTACATTTCTTGCATATTTAATTACCTACCTTATTGGAGAAGCAGCAGCAGGTTAAACTGCCATTCTCAAGACTTTCATGCAGAGAAATCTCCTCAGATCTTTTTGATATGAGTTCACATTGTCGTTGTAAATTAAATATAACATAGAAAACGTGATTTAAATATTTTCCAGTGGACTAGATATTAGTTAATAGTCATTCAAACAACTTTACCAAAGCCTTTATACTTGATGATTGGTCTCATGCATCCGCCATGTATGTAGTTTATTTACACTTTTTGCCCGAGTTTGTAGTTCTAATTAAATTCACGTCCAACGGCCAATGTATCATGGGCAATATCAGTGGTTAGATTATGGAGGTCCACACTTTCAATTTTTACTCAAAATAGTAAACCATCCAGGAACCTTTGGCATACTCTTTTCAACATAATATGGTTTGGGACATACTAATTCTATTTTTGAATGCCTTTTCCATGTCCATAAAACACATGGAGAAGGCATTCGAAAAAACTTTCAAAGAATTTGAAAAAGAAATTCAAAGTACAGCCTTGGGCATGAGGGGGTCCGGTTTAGGGAGCACAGGATCTCATCTCTGTTATATGCAGACCATGTTGTTCTGTTGGCTTCATCAAACATGGACATTCAGCATGAAATGGGGCAGTTTGCTGTCGAGTGTGACGTGGCTGGGAGGAGAATTAGCCCCACTAAGTCCGAGGCCATGGTGCTACACCAGATAATGATGCTTTGCCATCTATGGGTTGGAGGAAAGTCCTCACCCCAGGTGGAGGAGTTTAAGCATCTTGGGGTTTTGTTCACGAGTGAGGGAAGGATAGAACATGAGATTGACAGGAGAGTCAGTGAAGCAGTAATGCTGTAGATGTACTGGTCCGTTGTGGTAAAGAAGGACTTGAGCCAAAAGGCAAAGCTCTCAATTTACCAGTCAGTCCTTGTTCCTACTCTCACTTATGGTCATGAGCTTTGGGTCATGTATGATTGGACAAAATCTCAGATAAAAGCGGCCAAAATGAGTTTCCTTCGCAGGGTGGCAGGGCGCACCCTTATAGATAGGGTGAGGAGCTCTGACAACTGGGAGGAGCTCGGAGTAAAGTCACTGACAGCTTCTTCACATCGAGAGAAGTCTGAGGTGGCTTGGGAATCGGTTTCGAATGCCTCCTGGATGCCTACCTAAGGAGGTGTTCAGGCATGTCCCACTAGTGCCGAGTTCAGACTGCATGATTTTCAAACTAGTCATGTCACAGATGTTTTCACACTGCATGACTATCTGGGCTAGCGTTTCGTCGCTGCTTTGTTTACACTGCAAGATGGTTCGGCGACATGGACATTCACATTGCATGACTTTACTATAGGGAGAATCGCCGACAACTTCGTCCAAACTACGTCTCACAGCCAAAAACATCTAGTATATCTTTTGTTATTAACTACATAATGAGAAAGAAGCCTTTAATGGGGTAGAACATGTACATGTTTGCTCACCTGGGTTTAAAGGGAATTAGCCATTTCTCCTTAACGTTGATAATAAACTAATTTCTTTCTGTATGAAACGTCAAACAGACACGGTTGCTCCTGAGTCCTGTCAAACCTCCACTGGTTTTTCCTCCATTTCGTGGGTCCAAATAAACCGAAAAAGAGCGCTTTCAACTTCTCCCCCAGCCTCCCGCTGGCCTGCAGCAGGTATACACACACGCACACACAAGTGAAAGCTGCTCTCTCATTGGCTGTAGGCGATCACTGATGTTATTTTCAGTCAAAACTCAATTCACACGGCATGATTTGAATCGCCGACAGCTCCAGATATTTAGCACGCCAAATATCTCACAGGCATCGGCGACTCATCGGCGATTCTCTCAGATCGCGTCTTTGATCGTTCATACTGTGTGATTGTCACTCACGTGCACGAGCAGCGATTTGCCTGTGATTTCAGGCATTTGTCGGCGAGCCAAAATTGGGGCTAAAATCACGCAGTCTGAACTAGGCATAGGAGAAGACCTCAGTGTGCTGGAATGCTGAAGACTTGCTGGAGGGACTATGTCTCTCAGCTGGCCTGGTAACGCCTCGGGATCCCCCCGGAGGAGCTGGAGGAAGTGTCCAGGGAAAGGGAAGTCTGGGGTTCTCTACTGCTGCCCCCACAACCCAGCCCCTTAAAAGCAGTTGAAAATTAATTAATAAATGAATAATTTTATTTTCAAATGCTATTTAGGACAAAAAGTATGCAAATTGGGACAGCAATGGTTATTTAGGCTTATGATATATAAAGGTCAAGGGAATAGTGTAAAGAGGATGTTAAAGATCACCTACAAATTGACTGAGCAACAGTCACTGCACATTAAACATTTTCCAGCTGGGTCGGTCACATTTTAGGGTCCCCATGAAACATTTTTGTTGTCTTCCTTGCTATTTGCTACTTTGCTATGAAATATGTTTGCATTGTAAGAATATGCTGCAAAATGTTTTATTGTGTTTGTGTTGTTTGACATTTTCTTAATTTGCTACCGTCTCTTTGTAATTGCATGTGTTTTCCTAAATTGCAGCACATTAAACTCTAGTAGCCACTCTACTAACCAGTAATTGTGCCAATGTCTCCAGGTGAAATGTGAAAAGTACTGGCCATCTGAGACTGACTTTTATCATAACATCTCTGTGACAACCACCTCAGAGACAGAACTGGACGACTGGACAATTAGAGACTTCAGTATCAAAAACGTAAAGCAACACTTCCTGTGCTTGATATCTTCTCATTTTTTTCGTTCTGTACCATATACAACTGAATGTTGCTATTGTGGTATTAAAATCATTAATGTTTTATATTATGTGGCTGATACCTCTGTAGGTGGAAACAGAAGAAACTTGTAATGTACGCCAGTTCCACTTCACAGCGTGGCCGGATCATGGAGTTCCAGAAACCACTGAGGTCCTTATTGAGTTTAGGCACCTGGTGAGAGAACATATGAACCAGTACTCATGCACCTCTCCAACCGTGGTGCATTGCAGGTGACTTTAAATATCCATAAATAATGCAAATATTAATTGACCTCTTTATTAAAATCATCTGATCATTTGACCTCTTTCTCTTTCAGTGCTGGTGTGGGAAGAACAGGGACATTCATTGCCATTGACCACCTGATCTCCCAGATTGAAAGGGACAGCATGGTGGACATCTACGGAATTGTTCATGATATGCGCATGCACAGGGCTCTCATGGTGCAGACTGAGGTACGAGTCTTTAAAGCAGTACTGTATATCAAGCCTCATTGCAAGTTAAAGGGATAGTTCACACAAAAATGAAAATTAACTCAACCTCAAGTGGTCCCAAACTTTACAAGTTTTCTTTTTCTATTGAACACATAAGAAGCTAGTTTGGAAAGTGTTAGAAAACTTTAACCATTGACTTCCATAGTAGTAAAAACAAATATTATGGAAGTGAATGGTTACAGATTCAAAGATTTCAAAACCTCAGCACAGCATATGCTTGACAATGGTCAGGAGGAAAAATAAATTTGATACTAACAGTCTGCTCCGCATCCTAATTCTGATGCTGTACGAGGCGAGCTACAGAGCAAGCTGCTCGCACCAGAAAAGCCATTCATATGGAGGTAAGAATTTAGCAGTAGCACAAAAAGGTTGGGGGTTCCAAGCTTCAGGTCGAGTGAAACCTGAGAATAAATAGGGCCAAGAAAAAAAAGCTGGATAGCCTAGGAGAGACAGAGAGAGGGGTGAAAGAGAGAAAAAAAAATTGTGGTTCGGTTCTCCAATCACGCTGCCACTCGGTTCTCAACCGGCTGAGAGATCCAATGACGTGCTGGGAGCCCTGTCAAGGAACCTACCCGTCTGTTTTCTGGTGTCCGGCGGCGGTTCTTCCGGCTGGCAGCACTTCTTGTCTCCAGCTCCGCTCTCGCTTCAGGCTTTGGCATCCTGGCATACAGCGGTGACTCCCCCGGCCTTTTTGGGATGGCTCCTCGCAGCTCTTTCCCTCACGGTGGTGAACCCTGCATCCCCTGCTCATCCCCATGCTGAGAGCTTTCATTAGGCAGAGCCTTTCCTCGCCAGCCTCTGGTCGCCCCAGTACTCTGTGCTGACGAACGCGTTTCTTCCCTACTCGGTTTAACTCCCGAACACTCGCCCTTCCCCCCAGAGGCAAGGGCATCTGGACTTCCATTGGCTTCCATGGCTCCCCCTTGAGACTCGAGGCAGGTCATGCGTCCAGGTGTCTTTGATTATCTTACTCACGCCACCTGCCTCCTATGCCACACTCTCAGAAAAAAAAGGTCCAAAATTTTACCTTTTAAGGTACAAGTGGCCAGTCACTGGGGTGGTACCCCAAAGGGTACAAAATGTACCTCTACTTAGAGATACAAAATTGTACCTTCTACATTTGTACCATTTAAAAGACAATTTTGTACCCCCAAGGAACATTTTGATCCTTTGGTGACTGCATGCACAAATAAATAAATATAACATTTTAGTTTACAGATGTCTAATTTTATTTAGAAATGTAGAAACATTTCATCACAACTCACAACTAAATGTGTCAAGAAATAAAATTACACCGCAAGTATAAAGCAGTCATTTAAAACAGTAAAAAGTATATTTAGATAACAAATAATAAGTTGTTCACACACTGTACAGTAAATAATCTACACTAATACAAAGACCACAAGGACACTGTTAGATTTATTAACACATTACACAGGCTACATCAAGTACCGCACTTTATGAAGTCCAAAGTAATAATTAGTTAGTAATTTGTCATTAACATTTTCTCTGTATTTCAAAACGAAGGCATAGTTTATCCATAAATTCCTTCAACAGTGCAGAAAACCAAAAATATCAGTTGCCTCTTACTCAACATCAGTAGATTCCTCCTCAACTTCCTCAAGTGGAGTTGTAATTTGTTGTAACACAATATGTTTATGCTTTTGGTAAACATGACATGTAAGGCACTCATAACTGAAAAATGTTCTTTGAAAGTCAGTAATCATTAGGACCACAAGTTATTTAAACATTTGCTTCATGCATGAATGTCAGCAGTGTGCTGATTTAACTTGATTATTTTGATTATTATCCAAGAGCATGTAAAGAAACAAAAAACAAGATTGATCCCTTTGGTAACTCGAGTAGGTAGAGTCTTGTCACCATCCACAGTTCATTTAAAACATTCCACTGCAGAAACATCAAGGTGTTCTTCAAATGAGATGGATATGTCAAAAATGTATATCTGTCCACAAAGTATAATTAAGACTTTTTATTAAGACCCCTAAAGAATTATATCAACTTGTGTAGAATGGGCATTCAAAGTAACTTTTAATGAACCCAGAATATTTCTTTAAATGACATTAGCTTAGATGTTAGCATGAAGCTGTGCTTCTTTTACAAATGAGCGGCTTTATAAAACTGTTTTCCTTTTTCTGTCTGTTTTCTTCAATAGGACCAGTATGTTTACCTCTACCAGTGTGCCTATGACCTCATTCAATCAAGAACTATGTCCAACAACTTAATTTACCAGAATACAGCATCATTTGAAATCTACCAGAATGTAGATTTTAAGGAAAACAAAGATAAGATGTCCTTTACCGAAGGATCAAATTTGTGAAATGGATACAATATATATTCTTGCACAGTAATCAAATCATTTGATTAATGTACTGTAAAAATTAAAACACAAATAATGCAGCAATGGCTTTAAAATAAAAATAAGCAAATAAATACTAAGTAATTGTGTTAATAATATTTAAATTAAGATTTTATTTTCTCAGTGACGGTCGAAAAGAATATTTGTTTAATTTGGTGTAAAATGGTTATATAAAATAATATATAATACATAATTTTACTATTTAACTACAAGGACTAACATTCTCCCCCACTAGAGGGTGCTGTCAACCTATCACTTTTATCAATGCACATAATTAAAATATGTATATGTTCCATTATTCTGCTAAAAAATAATTCGATTTATAAAAGTATCAAAAGATTGCTGTCTAATTATTAGTTCATTAATTGCTGTTATGCTTTAAAACGTTTTGCTAACTGTGTGAAGCTCAGCCTGCTCTGGAAAGGAGCATTTGCTGCGAATTTGTATAGTAATTTATTGTTGTTTTATATATTAGGGTCCACTAAAACTTATAATCTTACAGTAATATAACAGTCTAATTGTTTATTGTTTACCTTTGTTTAAAAGCTATCACCTCAGCCACTGTACTGTAATATGATTCCTGTATATGCTATTAGTACAGCACTTTTATTCTTGTGTGATGTTGTCTGATTAGATTTTATAAAGCTCTTTTCCTGCTGTTTTTACTGCTAGTGCTTTTCTGTCAGGGATGAAACTGCAACTTTGCTCAGTGTTGAGTAAGATACGCCTACTGGAGATAGCTAAGCTAAGCTACTCAGTTAAATTAGCTACTACCAAACTACTCCTCTAAAATTAGATAGTTATTAACTCAGTGTAACTATACTTTTTTTTTTTCCACAATTACGTAAATTACAGTGAATAAAACGTCTATGGAATAAACATTAACAAGGAATGCTTAAAGAATAATATGGTTCAATACCATTAAAATGTGAAAGTTTTGTTTTTATAGTTTTGAATTTTTGACAAAACACAAAAATGTAGCTTAAGCTATAGGCTATTAAGGGTCATGGTGGCGCGGTGGGTATCATGATCGCCTCACAGCAAGAAGGTTGCTGGTTCGAGCCCCGGCTGAGACAGTTGGCATTTCTGTGTGGAGTTTGCATGTTCTCCCCATGTTCGCATGGGTTTCCTCCGGGTGCTCTGGTTTCCCCCACAGTCCAAAGATGATGCGCTATAGGTAAATTGGGTAAGCTAAATTGGCCACAGTGTATGTGTGTGAATTCAAGAGTGTGGGTGTTTCCCAGTCTTGGGTTTTGACTGGAAGGACATCTGCTGTGTAAAACATATGCTGGATTCATTTAACTCTACTTTAACCCCATGACAACTGTTACTGCAGACAGCATACACTCACCGGCCACTTTATTATGTACACCTTACTAGCAACAGCGGGTTAGACCTCTTTTTGCCTTCAGAACTGCCTAAATCCTTCATGGCATAGATTCAATAAGGTACTTGGTCTATATTTTTTTGGTCCATATTGACATGATAGCATTACACAGTTGCTGCCGATTTGTCGGCTGCACATTAATGATGCGAATCTCCTATTCCATAATATCCCAAAGGTGCTCTATTGGATTACGATCTGGTGACTTTGAAGGCCATTTGAATTTATTCTTATGTTTAAGAAACCAGTCTGAGATGATTCATGCTATATGACATGGCGTGTTATCCTGCTGAAAGCCATTAGAAGATTTGTACACTGTGGTCATAAAGGGATGAACATGGTCAGCAACAATACTCAGGTAGGCTGTGATGTGACACAATGCTCAGTTGGTACCAATGGGCCCAAAGCGGGCCAATAAAATATTCCCCACATCATTACATCACCACCACTAGCCTAAACCGTTGATACAAGGCAGGATGGATCTGTGCTTTCATGTTGTTGATGCCAAATTCTGATCCTATGTGAATGTTGCAGCAGAAATCAAGACTCATCAGACCACGCAACGTTTTTCCAATCTTCTATTGTCCAATATGGTGAGCCTGTGCCAATTGTAGCCTGAGTTTCCTGTTCTTCGCTGACAGGAGTGGCACCCTGCGTGGTCTTCTGCTGCCCATTCGCCTCAAGGTTTGACATGTTCAGAGATGCTCTTCTGTATACCTCAGTTGTAACAAGTGGTTATTTGAGTTACTGTTGCCTTTATATCAGCTCGGAACAGTCTGGGCATTCTCCTCTGACCTCTGGCATCAATAATGTACCTAATAAAGTGTCCGGTGAGAGTATATTAGGTAATATATTTTGGTTACTACCATATGATAAAAATGTGCCATCATTTAAAATAAGTAAACTTGGTAACTGGAAGCATAGTAAATCAATGGTTACCAAAATTCTTGAAAATATATTCAGATGAGTGGAATTACTTGAGGGTAAGTAAATGTATGTACTTTTGAAATATACTGCTCGAAAATAATAAAGGGAACACTTAAAAAACACAATGAAACTCCAAGTGATTCCTCCTGCTAAGATTAGCTCCAACTTGCCTAAACACACCTGCCAGGAAGTTTCCAGTAGCCTACATCTAGTACACGGGTGTCCAAAGATTTTTTTTAAGTGAAACTGAACGAATGACTAACATAACCAGTAGATGGCTGCAGAGTAACACTCATACCACAATTTTTCATATCTACTGCACACTGTAATGCTTTCATGTTTGCTTTTGAGAAAGGCGTATGATGATACAATACAAGTACATAAACAATATACACAATGTTGCGTATTTAAAATCTTTACATGGTCTGACATAAGTTTTCAGGAACTTGGATCAACATGAATCACACAAGTGTAGTCTGTCCATGTCTGTTCTTTTTTCTTTTGTTTTTCTTTGATTTCCTACATCCTTTGGATTAAAAAAATCTACAATTTAGAGTTTTTACATTTTGTTTTTATTTTTAATTTTACAGCATATCCACTGTAGTGGACCACAGGACCATTTTACTTTGAAACGACCGGCACTCAGACAACAAAATTGTACAAGATATGGCTGTAAAGGGATGTTAATCCAATATTAATGTAACAAATACAAAACAAAAGCCATTTTTTTCCTTTTGTATTGAAATTCCTGAAAAACTTTAGTCTGAAAAGGGGCCAAACTAAAATAAAAATAAAAATTATGTTTATCCAAAACAAATTTAACATAAAAGCGATTTAAATCTGATTGTCATTCTCTAATTGTTTCTAATTCTCTAATTGTCTGATTGTCAGACTCTGAATCAGAGTCTCCCTCAACTATTTTATAAAGAATCTTCTCTGCTTCAGTTCTGCCTCCTACAACATGCAGTCATTAATTACATTAAGATGGTCCTGGTGTCAACTATAGTGGACATTTAAAAAAAGGACGATATTTTGAAACACGAACAAGGTAACAGCTTTGAAAGCTAAATGTATTGTTCCTGGCACTTTAATAAACAAATATTTATGTAATAATGATAGTTAAAAACATTTAAAAGCTAAATTTTACATACCTCTCTCCTTCCCATAAAATGTGCTTTTTTTTGTATGTCGGCCATTTTGGATGCAGTGCAAGAAGTGGTCCCTAGCATGCCAGTGCCAGCCAATCAAATGACATATCACTAGAAAACCCAGGATCCTCTGAACAGTACAACAGTGTAGACTTGACAGAGGAGCTCAAAAAATTCTAAGAAAATTCATGAAAACGCAATGTCCACTACAGAGGACACAAGTCTGACCAACAAATACGTTTTCTAGAAATACATAAATGCTCTAGAACTATTCATGGTCAGCATCGCTGATTTGATATTTTTTAACAGCTGGAAGTAGATCTTTCTTCAACTTTTATTATATTGATGATAAAACAAATGGAAGTTCAGAAAATGCTAACGTATCCTGTTACAGTACATTTAATCTGACTAGAGTCAATTATTTATTCTGTATCACTGCTGTGGCAGCAGAAAAATTCTGCAGAAGGCTAAGCTTTCCGCGTCTCACAATATACCAGTATGTTAAATTATAAATGATCCTTTTCCTTGCTGCATAGAACATATTTAATTTAACTGAATTTAGACCATCCACTATGTTTATGTTCAAAGCTAAGTTAAGGTTGCTGTATTCATTCAAAACTGTCTCATTTCTTAATCTGTGATAGAATGATAGTGAGTATAGATCCATTTTAAAAGTTTATTCTTTGTATACCAACCTTTTTACACTATTTAAGGATATTATAAATTACAGAGAGGCTGAAAAAAGTGGATAAAATACTACTAAAACAACCTCATGTTGCAACTGTTGTGACGTGAATGGCTTCTTAGGAATATTCATTCATTCATTCATTTTTCTTTTTGGCTTAGTCCCTTTATTCATCAACCGCCAACTTATCCAACATATGTTTTACATAGCAGATGCTCTTCCAGGTGCAACCCAGTACTGGGAAACTTCTTAGGAACATATTATTTGAAATTAAAAGAATATTCTGCCTAGTTTAATCATGTCCGTTGTTAAAATGTCCTTCTAATTTGGTGTTTTTGTTATCATAACTGCAATCTGATTATTTTATTAGTTTTATGTCATTTATAAATGCAATTTTTTCTAATTAAAAGCCTCATTATTTAGTAGCTTTTAAGGACATTTAGAATTATATCTCTTTCATCTGAATAGTAAGAATGGAAAAGCTATTAAAATTGTTCAATTGTGTCTGGTCTTTAAAGGGATAGTTCACCCAAAAATAAGAAGTTCCTCATTATTTATTCACATCCAAATGGTTCCAAACTAGGGGTGTCAAACTTAGATCCTGAAGACCCACAGCCCTGCACATGTTTAGTTCCAACCCTGCTTCTTGTCGTACAGTTTTGATTGGGAAAAGTGGAACGGTCAATATTGTGAATGAAGCCCCACCTACTAGTACGTGGCCAATCATAAATCACAAATAGCCAATCATTGATTGCTCAGATCAGATGTGTGCAGACAGTCTGGTGGTCAATAGACACACAAAAAAATGACTTGCTTCACATGCATAAGAACTATATGCAGATAAAGCTTGAAATCTGTACTTTTATATGAACCACGTGCACTTGATAACAAAAGTTTT